GAGGAAAAAAGAAAAGGAAGAAAAAAGGGGCAAAAAGGAATAAAGAGGAAAACGGGTGGAAAAGGGGGAAAGGGAGGAAAAAGGGGAGAAGAAGGAAAAGGGGAAACAGCAAGCAAGGGGAGAAAAGAGGAAGAAAGGGGGTAGAAGAGGAAAAAGGATGGAAGAAGTGGAAAAAAGTGGGAAAGGGGAAAGAAAGGGGAAAAGGAAAAAAGAGGAAAAGGGGGAAAAAAGGGAGAAAAGAGGAAAAAAGGGGAAAGGGGGGGAAAAAAGGTAAAAAGAAGAAAAAAGGTAAGAGGAAAAAAGGGAGAAAAAAGGGGGAAAAAGGGAGGAAGGGGGGCAAAAAGAGGAATAAAGGGGAAAAAAGAGCAAAAAGGGAGGAAATGGGGAAAAGTGGGGAAGGGAAAATGGGGGAAGAGGGAAAACAGAAGAAAAAATAAGGAGAAAAGAAGGAAAAAGGGGGAAAAGGAGAAAGATGAACTGGGGGGAAGGAAGAAAAGGGAAAAAGGAAAAAAATAGGGGGGAAGCGAGGACAAGGGAAAATGTCAGAAAAAAAGGGGGACAAGGGGGAAAACGGGGACAAAGGGGAAAAAGGAAGATGAAAAAAACGGGGGAAAAATGGGAGAAAAGAGCCGAAAAGCAGAGAGGGAGGGGGAAAAAATGGTCAAAAATACTCATTTTGGGGTATTGAGCTCATCTCCTTCCTCACCTGATATTAATTCCCCCCAAAATCGCATTTTTCACAAATTAGAGCAAAAAATCGTGGACGTCGACCCCTCCCCAGACCTATTTTTGCCGCCGAATAAGTGATTTTTCCCCCTCAAATTGTTGGTTTTCCCTTTTAAAGGGCCAGCGCCCCGCGGGGCCGGGCGAGCAGCGGATTTCGGGGTTAATTATGTAAGAATTGGTTAATAATTAAGGCAATGCAGCCCATCCCCCACGCACACACAGGGCTCATTCAAAGAGGAAAAAAAAAATTTAAAAAAAAAGCCCTGTTTTGCCCAAATGGACCCAAAAAGACACAATAAAATGGCACAAAGCGGCGCAGCCGGCGACGGCGCGGCGCTTGCGGCACGGGGCCAGAAGGCGCCGTTTTTGTCGGAAAAAACAGAAAATAAACAGATTTGGGAGCTTTTGGGTAGAAAACAACTGGTTCGGGTGGGGGAAAAACACGGATTGGGGATGGCGGCCTGGGAAATAAACCCAATCAAACAGCAAAAACTCCACTGGGGAGGTGTTAAAGCGTGGAAAAACCGACCTGGATTTGGGGAAAAAAATGGCATTTTGCTGCGGGAAACAAAATTTGAATTAAAATTCCTGCTTTTGAGGCAAATGTCACATAACTCGCGGCAGGGCTGGGGGCAGGTGGTCCCAAATTGGCTGCCCCCTGGCTTGGAGGAGAGCTTGCGTGTTGCAAGCAGGTGGCTAAGCTCTACTCATACCTTACTCAAGGTTTACGCCCTCCGCTCTGCCGCCAGGGGCTTTCCTCATACTGACTGAGGCTGCCCTGCTCCCCTGCAATGCGATGTGGGGTCCCCTGTTGTGCCTCCTCTGAGGATACTACGCAGTTACTTTATGCATGCTACACTGAGGATGCCACACAGCTACTCTGAGGATGCTACACAGCTACTCCGAGGTGCTGCATGCTCACACCACAGTGTGGGGAAGGCTGATTTGCATGTGTTGATCTTGCATGCACACAAGGAGGTGCAATCTGACCCTCCGAGGGGCAGTACTCATAGGATACTACACTGCTACCCTGGTGTGCTACACAACGGAGCCACAGTGAGGTGCGCTGGTCTGCGTGCCACGGAAGGGGGTGTATCTCATGAGCATGCAAAGTGTCACGTGGGTCTGGGGTGGCCTACTCATAGGATACTACACAGCTACTCCATGCTGCTGCATGATGACGGGGAAAGCTGAGTTGTACACAGGGTGTAACCTTGCTAGTGTGCAAGGCAGCACACAGACCCCAAGGGAGTCCTTACTCACAGGATACTACAGCATGACCACGCCACAATGCAGGGAGCCGGTCAGCGAAGTCTCATGAGGGCGCAAGGAGGACCGGAGGCTGTGAGGGGACTTACTCACAGGTTACTACATTGCTTTTTTGACATGCCACGGTGCAGCGAGACAGTTTGCACAGCAGGGAGTAGACCTCACAGGTGTGTGATGGGGAGGCACGTGCCCCCAGGAGTAGAGGAAGGGGCTGGGGGGCCTTACTCACTCCTCATCCTGGAGGCGCTCCTCCTCCTCCTGCGCCTGGAGACGGCCCCGCACGGGGGCCAGCCCCTCGGTGGCAGCGTCGTAGTTGCGGAAGCAGACGGTGAGCTTCTCGTCGAACTCCTGCACCAGGTCCTCCATCGACTTGAAGCTCATCATCTCGGCCGAGAAGCTCTCCAGCTCAGCCAGCGCCGGGTCTGCGGCGCGTTGCGGGGTCCCCCCATCGTCACCGGGCCCCTCCTCGAACTCTTCCTCCAGGCTTACAAGAGGCGCCTCCATCCTCCTCAAGGTTGACGCGTTGCCTTAGCTGTGGGGAAAGCGTGCCCTTGAGGCACCGGGCTACTCACAGGTTACACCACTGTTTGCTCTGCTGCTGCTCTGCTGGCTGAAACACTATGGCCAAGGGTGTTTAAA